AAGCTTTTGTATGTAAAAACTTCTGTGTGTAAAAGCGTCTGTGTGTAAAAGTGTCTGTGTGTAAAGCGTCTGTGTGTAAAAGCGTCTGTGTGTAAAAGCTGTGTGTAAAAGCGTCTGTGTGTAAAAGCGTCTGTGTGTAAAAGCGTCTGTGTGTAAAAGCGTCTGTGTGTAAAAGCGTCTGTGTGTAAAAGCTTCTGTGTGTAAAAGCCTCTGTGTGTAAAAGTGTTTGTGTGTAAAAGTGTATGAATGTAAAAGCCTGTGTCTGTAAAAGCCTGTCTGTAAAAGCTTCTGTAACAGCGTCTGTGTGTAAAAGTGTCTGTGTGTAGAAGCGTCTGTGTTTGTATGTAAAAGTATCTGTGTGTAAAAGGGTCTGCGTGTAAAAGCGTCTGTGTGTAAAAGTGTCTGTGTAAAAGCTTCTGTGTGTAAAAGCGTCTGTGTAAAAATCTTTGTGTGTAAAAGCGTCTGTGTGTAAAAGTGTTTGTGTGTAAAAGTGTTTGTGTGTAAAAGCGTCTGAATGTAAAAGCCTGTGTCTGTAAAAGCGTCTGTGTGTAAAAGGGTCTGCGTGTAAAAGCGTCTGTGTGTAAAAGCGTCTGTGTGTAAAAGCGTCTGTGTGTAAAACCGTCTGTGTGTAAAAATGTCTGTGTGTAAAAGCGTCTGTGTCCAAAAGTGTCTGTGTGTAAAAGCGTCTGTGTGTAAAAGTTTTGTGCGTAAAAGCGTCTGTGTGTCAAAGCGTCTGTGTGTCAAAGTCTCTGTGTGTAAAAGCGTCTGTGTATAAAAGTCTCTGTGTGTAAAAAGCGTCTGTGTGTAAAAGCGTCTGTGTGTATCTGTGTGTAAAAGCGTCTGTGTAAAAGCGTCTGTGTGTAAAAGCGTCTGCGTGTAAAAGCGTCTGTGTGTAAAAGCGTCTGTGTGTAAAAGCGTCTGCGTGTAAAAGCTTCTCTGTGTGAAAGTGTCTGTGTGCGAAGGGTCTGCGTGTAAAAGTCGCTGTGTGTAAAAGCTTCTGTGTGTAAAAGTCTCTGTGTGTAAAAGGGTCTGCGTGTAAAACCGTCTGCGTGTAAAAATGTCTGTTTGTAAAAGCGTCTGTGTCTAAAAGTGTCTGTGTGTAAAAGCTTCTGTGTGTAAAAGCGTCTGTGTGTAAAACATTCTGTGTGTAAAAGCTTCTGTGTGTAAAAGCGTCTGTGTGTAAAAGTCTCTGTGTGTAAAAGATTCTGTGTGTAAAAGCGTCTGTGTGTAAAAGTGTCTGTGTGTAGAAGCGTCTGTGTGTAAAAGCGTTTGTGTGTAAAGTGTCTGTGTGTAAAAGTGTCTTTGTGTAAAAGCGTCTGTGTGTAAAAGGGTCTGCGTGTAAAAGCGTCTGTGTGTAAAAGCGTCTGTGTGTAAAAACGCCTGTGTGTAAAAGCTTCTGTGTGTAAAAGCGTCTGTGTATAAAAGCTTTTGTGTGCAAAAGCTTCTGTGTGTAAAAGTCTCTGTGTGTAAAAGCGTCTGTGTGTAAAGGTGTCTGTGTGTAAAAGCTTCTGTGTGTAAAAGATTCTGTCAGTAAAAGCTTTTGTATGTAAAAACTTCTGTGTGTAAAAGCGTCTGTGTGTAAAAGTGTCTGTGCGTAAAAGCGTCTGTGTGTAAAAGTGTCTGTGTGTAAAAGCGTCTGTGTGTAAAAGCGTCTGTGTGTAAAAGCTTCTTTGTGTAGAAGCGTCTGTGTGTAAAAGTGTTTGTGTGTAAAAGTGTTTGTGTGTAAAAGCGTCTGAATGTAAAAGCCTGTGTTTGTAAAAGTGTCTGTGTGTAAAAGCTTCTGTGTGTAGAAGCGTCTGTGTGTAAAAGCGTCTGTATGTAAAAGTATCTGTGTGTAAAAGTGTCTTTGTGTAAAAGCGTCTGTGTGTAAAAGCGTCTGTGTGTAAAAGTGTCTGTGTGTAAAAGCGTCTGTGTGTAAAAGCGTCTGTGTGTAGAAGCGTCTGTGTGTAAAAGCGTCTGTGTGTAAAAGCTTCTGTGTGTAAAAGGGTCTGCGTGTAAAAGCTTCTGTGTGTAAAAGGGTCTGCGTGTAAAACCGTCTGCGTGTAAAAATGTCTGTTTGTAAAAGCGTCTGTGTCTAAAAGTGTCTGTGTGTAAAAGTGTCTGTGTGTAAAAGCTTCTGTGTGTAGAAGCGTCTGTGTGTAAAAGCGTCTGTATGTAAAAGCTTCTGTGTGTAAAAGGGTCTGCGTAAAAGCTTCTGTGTGTAAAAGCTTCTGTGTGTAAAAGCGTGTGTGTGTGTAAAAGCCTCTGCGTGTGAAAGTTCTTGTGTAAAAGCGACTGTGTCTAAAAGTGTCTGTGTGTAAAAGCTTCTGTGTGTAAAAGCGTCTGTGTGTAAAAGCTTCTGTGTGTAAAAGCTTCTGTGTGTAAAAGCGTCTGTGTGTAAAGTCTCTGTGTGTAAAAGATTCTGTGTGTAAAAGCGTCTGTGTGTAAAAGTGTCTGTGTGTAGAAGCGTCTGTGTGTAAAAGCGTTTGTGTGTAAAGTGTCTGTGTGTAAAAGTGTCTTTGTGTAAAAGCATCTGTGTGTAAAAGGGTCTGCGTGTAAAAGCGTCTGTGTGGAAAAGCGTCTGTGTGTAAAACCCAAAAGATCAGGTCAGGCAATTTCCTGCCTAATAGTTAATTCCTTATTTCTTATCTAATTAGGTAATTTTTAAGGTAAAAAGGAAACCTAATTTTAAGGTAATTCGGCACGTGGGGTTGAAAGTTTGCGTGCAAACTTGCGAGGCGGGGCTGAAAGTTTGCATGCAAACTTGCGAGACAAAGTTGAAAGTTTGGATGCAAACTTGCGAGGGGAGGTTGAAAGTTTGCGCGCAAACTTCCGAGGCGGGGTTGAAAGTTTGCGCGAAAACTTGCGAGGCGGGGTTGAAAGTTTGCAAGCAAATTTGCGCCCTTGGACACGCACGCAAGCATTTGCAGGCAATTGTTGGTGCAAGTTTACACTCAAACTTGCGAGGGGAGGTTGAAAGTTTGCATGCAAACTTGCGAGGCGGGGTTGAAAGTTTGCGTGCAAACTTTCGTTGACAGTTATATAGGTAAAAAAAAATAGTTAAGGCAAGAAAAATTAACTAATTCAGGTAAGGGAAAAATAAACTAATAGGTAATTTTTTGTCTAAGGTAAGGAATTACCTTTTCGGCAGGAAATTGCCTAACCTGATCTATTGGGAAGCGTCTGTGTGTAAAAGTCTCTGCGTGTAAAAGCGTCTGTGTGTAAAAGCGTCTGTGTGTAAAAGCGTCTGCGTGTAAAAGCTTCTGTGTGTAAAAGTGTCTGTGTGTAAAAGCGTCTGTGTGTAAAAGCGTCTGTGTGTAAAAGCGTCTGTGTGTACAAGTGTCTGTGTGTAAAAGCGTCCGTCTGTAAAAAGTTCTGTGTGTGTGTGTGAAAAGCTATACGAAAGATACGATGCAAACTATTGTCTTGCGCTTGTGATATATTGTCTTGATACTACTTTTCCCGTCTGCTTATAATACATCTTTAATAGGTTGTCTTGTAATATAGTGTCTCCATACTAGCACCAGAAGACTCTGCTCCTCTACGCTCTCGGGCCATCCGTCGTCTAGTTGAAGTTGAGATGTCGAAAAAGTGCACGGCGTTGTGGCGCGAAGCACATTTCGAAGTCAAAATTTAAAAAACACGAGGGGTTCGGACCACTTTTGGACGTTCAGATGTCCTTTCGCGTGGCAGGTGCAAGGGATTGTGCACCTTCTCAAAAGTGAGCAAAACGTGAGGGTTTTGTAAGATGCATTTCGCATGGCAGGCGCAGTACAAAAGACATGTTCATCAGAGATGTTAGGAGGTCATGGCGCTGATTTCCTGAGAGGGGTTGCATTTGGGAGCATCAGATCTGTAGGTTTGCTAAGATGATTTTGCGTGACAGGTGCAGCACTTTGTATGACCTGGCATCAATTTTTCGTGGTAGGCGCAGTACTTTAGACAGGTGGAGTGGAAAAATTGCAAAACGCATTGGCACGAGGCCGTCAGCGCTGCACCCAACTTCCATTTTTGAAGGAAGTCTCGCAGAGTTGTATCGTTTTTGATGTTGCCAACGTCGAAAATTGAGGAAGTCTCGTCTCGCAGAATTGCTTCGTTTTTGATGTTGTCGAGTTTGAGAAATAAAGAAGTCTCGCAGAATTGCTTTGTTTTCAAGTTGCAGATAGACAGGTGGACAAATAGACAGACAGACAGGCAGACAGACAGATAGATAGATAGATGGATAGATAGATAGATAGATAGATAGATAGTTAGATAGATAGATGGATGGAAAAAAAAGATGGATTGATAGATGGATGGATAAAAACGATGGATTGATAGATAGATAGATAGATACATAGATAGATAGATAGACAGATAGACAGATAGACAGATAGACAGATAGATAGATCGATAGATAGACAGATGGATAGATAGAAAGATAGATCGATAGATGGATGGATAGATAGATAGATAGATAGATAGTTAGATAGTTAGATCGATAGATGGATGGATAGATAGATAGATAGATGGATAGATAGATCGATCGATCGATAGGTAGATAATTAGATAGACAAATAAGAGAGAGATACATAGATAGAAAGATAGATAGGTAGCTAGCTAGGAAGAGAGAAAAAGAGAAAAAAAAAGGAGACATCAATCACCTTTCGGTCCATCAGTGGCTTCGCTCTGCCATCCGTGATTCACAACAACCAACCTCTCCTAATATAGGTTTCCTATTTTTGAAACTTCCGCCACCGCCTTGTGCGATAGTACTTGTATAAAATCAAAGTTACATACCATAGTCATTGCATAGTCTGTCGTCCATTTCTCTGGGATCTCTGGACAGACTATGCTCCGTATTATTCTGTATTCTGTATCCGGGAGACTTGGCGTGAGTCATTCAAGCATATTGAAAATATTGAAACAGGTCAGATCAAACACACTGGAGTACTGGTCTTCCAACTATCACCTGACCAGATGCTCATGTGCAGGATTGGTTACTACATGTTGTGTTGCTACATTCTTTGCTAGCAAGACGCTTGCAAGGGCTTCAAGTGTACCATCCAAAGGCACACATGCATTCATCACCTTCAGGACCGCCTTCGTGTAGAAAGGAAGCAGGACCCAAATTGATAAGTAGAGTAGAGGGTTCAAGTATAGAATAATAAACCCACTTGTGATACTTATGTTATGTTTGCATATATATATAACTTGTAACAATGAGCATAGTCTGTTCCAACCCAGCCAAAGCTGCGCAGGGGGCATCTTCTTCGGGAGGAGTGCACATGTTCTGTTAAGCTCGTATAGTCAGTGGCTGTATCATTCTGAGTTCTGACGTCATGTGTGACAGTGTCAAGCAAAGCCCGGCTGTGACGTTTACGTTTAAGGCTGCAACTGCACGCAACATACGCCAATGCTGGCCCCACCTGGTTATCACGATATTGTTTCCTCGGAAGCTCTTTGAGCAAGGCCTGAAAGACCTGCGCGATCTGCACGGGATTCCATAACCAAACAGGGCGGAAACAGCGACAAAGCTGCGAATTCTTGCAATGCCATGCGCTTTGGCCGGAAACCCTTACTCCACGCCTGAGGCCCCGTATCTGAGGAGATCTCCAGTAGACTGGTACAAATTTCAAGCACAGCCCAGGTTGTCCCCCTCGTGGATTCCACTTCCAAAGCAGCAAGAACCGCCTGCCATTTGAGGAGTGGAAGACAAAGCACAGGTGAAACTCAGACCTGTTGCCCACAACGGAGAGACATGGGAGCGTCGCGCGATCAGAGTTTGCGCATGTCTACAGAACATGCAATTACATGCACAATGTGCCAGTCTCGTAATGGCATCTGTCTAGCAAGTAACCACCCTACAGGACCAAACACCCAGAGAAATGATAGTTAAATGGTTTTGCGCGCACATCAGTTTGCGCAATGTGCTGTGCTTATGCGCAGTGCCACTGACTGGTAGGCCTTCAAGTCAAAACATCTTCTTGACGAAGTGGATTAGTTACGTGTCGAATCAAGTGATTTGTGCGCGACGGCCAAAAAATGCACCAGAAAATAGCAGACTGCTAGGACGAGTCCAAATGTCCCCAGCACCTGCAGCAACCCTTCATCTGCACCAATGGCTGCGACTGTCTTTGCAGCTCGTGTAACTTTGTTGCTGTCTTCATCCTTCAAAAACTCTAGCAATGTGCCGTGCGCCAAACCAGGTTCTTGCTTGCAAACCTCAAGCAAAGCCAAGGGATCGAAAGGTTATGTTATGTTGATCAACAGTAGCATTACCAGTAGCAAAGTCTGTTCTGGCAATAGCGAGACCCTATAAACAGTTGAACAATACTGGAATCTGGGTCCTGAGACTTCTAAATGCATTGCGAGTGCGCCTGGCTCGAATTCCAAAAATTCAATTCAATTCCAGAAAAGCAAATCAAAAGCTTGAGGACCACAAATGTCACCATGAGTCCAATAACATCATTCACAGTCACATGCATTCACTGAAATAAGCCCATCTGAATCCATGATGCTCAGGGTCTAGATGACCAGAAACTGACCAGCAAATAGGGCTCAGCCTAGCTACCGCGGCAAGCCCTTTCATCAGGAACTTCTCCCCAGATTCAGACATGTCGAACCACTTTGAGTCATCCATTAGGCAAAATAACCTGTTTAGAATCAAATTGACGGTTGCATTGATGTCACAAACCTGCTGTGAATCGCTGAGGCGGTCAAGTGCAATTCCTTGCTCTTCCTCCGTCCCCTCGTCCAGGATGAAGACAATCCACTCCATGACTTGTTCATTCCCTTTTGGAATGACGCTCTCCAAAAGCTCCAGGACGGCACGAAAGGGTCTTCGAAGTCCAGCATTCAAGAAGTCGTGCAGCTCCTGGAGCTGAGTGTCTTTTTTTGAAAATGTTCGTAAGATTTCGTAAGTACCCTGGAAATGAGAACAGAAACCATTACTTATTACAGTGGACAAGCTTATTTCGTGGTGCGCATCTGAACTACACATGCTTGAAATCTTCACTACTGCTCTGAGAAAGCTGATCGTCGTTCTAGACTAAATCGATGGGCGAAAGCGGCCAACATGTCCACATCCTTCAGCAACAACTCCGGCATCTCTGGGTCATCCTTCTGAAGTTCGCAGATTGTCCTGACAGCCTCTGCTGCTGCAGAACCCAGCTCTCCAGCATCAAAGATCCGAGGTACAAGAAATCGGATGCTGCGCTGCGGGTTTGAGTTGCCAACAACCTTCAAAGCCTTCACAGCCTACGTCGCCAAACAATCCCAGCTGGCTGAATTTCAAATTGGACCTTTTGGGGGAATGCAAAGAGAGAGAGGGAGAGAGGGAGAGCAATTGAAAAACAGTTGTCGAACAAGAGCAGTAATGTAGGAATCCACTTGGGTACCCTCTAAGATCAGGTAAGACAGAATTCTACCCAATATGTAGAATCGAGTTTTCAGGTAGAACTCTACATAATAGGTAGAATGAAAAAAAAATAACCTCGAGGTTACTTGCCAAATACATAACCTCAAAAAATCTAAGGTTATTTGACCAAATAACCTGAACTATTTCCATTGTTTGATCAAATAACCTTTAGATCAGCAACCAAAAGCAACCAATCTGTGAAAAGAGGTTCACATAAAAAGGGCATAGAAATATGTTTTCAATTGCAAAAAATCCTCAAAAGTTCATGGTGTCAAAGGATCCTGGTGAAATAGAAGTGGTTCTTTCCATTTTTCATGCTACAGTAATGTCCACCACAGGACATTGCCCAAAGGTACAATGGGCTTGTGGAAGCAAAAGTGTTATATAGTAGTTTCCACAGCTACTTGTGGCCAATGTGACTTAGAAGTGCAGCAACACATGCCATAATGTGAGTTAGCCCTGAAACAATGTGACTTAGAGAGCACGGAAAATGTGACCAAGTCGAGATGGTGCAAAATAAGACTTGCTTGTTCTACATCAAGCACACATTGATTTAGTTTCCTGCAGCATGAAAACCACACACCTTCCCTCATGCAGCTGAATGGGCAAGAGCAGGCCAACCCTTTTTTCTCACAAGTTCTGCAAATGAATGTGCATTGCCACTCTCACTTTGTTGATGATCTTGCCTGTTACCTGGGGGCCTTTTAGCCCTTTGCAGCAAGACTTGGCAAGAGTCCTTTGGATTGCCATATAACCCTCTCGGCCGAAAGCACCAGGTGAGGCGAGGGTTGATAACATTGCTAAGGTGGACACTGTGCAGCCAAGTATGTATTTGTGGTATTCCTGCAGAGAGTGTCACTTCTTCACCAGCAAGTTGTTGGGAAAGGCCCAAGTGGAGCTGTGCCATAGCAAAGCTCCAAGCCTTGAAGTTGTTGTAATCCTCAGGACCCAAGGCCAGCTCCTGCTCATTTGCTTTCAATTTTTTCAGTGAAGACATTCATCTTCAACCAAGCTTTGATTTGCCTGTGTGCCAAAACTTCTGGGTCCACATAGAATTGCCATAGCTCCAGCATAGGCTCCGCCAGGCTGGCCACTTGAGATGCTCTCCCTTTGAGCTTAGGCCCACCTCTTTTCCTTTGAAAAAGAAATAGCTCGGTCACCCCCCTGTACCTGTCAGTGACCTTCTTCTCCTTGTAGGTGGCATTGGTTTTCTCCCAGCACAGCTTCAAATTCTCCAAGGGCAAAAAGTGAGGAAGTATTTTGTGGCAGAGGAGCCACAAACAAGATGCCAGGAAAACCATGCCTGTTCCAAGGTATTTTGAATGCATGAAATCATCACAAGTGGCTACTGCTGTCAAACCTGGCAAATGCTTGGACAAATCACAAGGAGACCTGTGCTCCCAAATGTTCCAATCTGCTGGCTTCCACAGCATCCCTAGCCAGGGTGCCACCAACCTGCAATCCTTCCATGAATTTGCTGAAGAGCCACCCTTGCATCGACATACTGAGCATGGGGCATGGGGATGATTTTGAGCCATAATGTGGCAACTTCAACGCCTGTGTCAAATATTCTAAGTCGCCCACCAAAGACCACAGCAAGCTACAGTAGCCATCAGCCAGTGCAGTGCCACCCTTCTTGACAGCTTCAGAATTGACAGGGTATTTGTTTCCCTTGTGGTCTTCAGTTGGCCATGTCCCTAGCTGCAGCCACTTAAAAAACCAACTCCAAGAGAGAATTCCAACTCCAAGTGGGGAGCTGCCTGCACCATTTTTCCCAATTCCTGTACATGGTGTGCCATCACCATGTAGGGCAAATGGTACCGTCTTCTGTCTGAAGGAAGGGTTGCCAGTGAGGAGGGTGGTCTGCAAAAGCCATGTGCTGTTACTGAAATGTCCAGATTTCGGGTCTTTGAGCTGCACATGGAACCATGATGCTTTTCCAGGCTTCTTTGTAAGAATGGTACAAAGAGCTGAAAAGTTCATGGGGCAAAATCATCATTTGCATCTGCGCAGAATAAGGCTCCTTGAAAGTGATCTTTGGCTGGAAAGGTGCAGGAAGGAGGACAAACTTGTTGGCAAATGCTAGCAGCTGCCTATGCATATTGTTCCTCACTTGTTGCAAAGCAACAAAACAAGGGGAAAACACTTTCAAAAAAACACTTTCATGACCAATTCTTCTGGCTAGAAGCTTGTGGGCCCCAGATGTGCCCAGGGATGCAAGATACTGAAGGTCTAAAGGTGGAACAGTATTGGCTTCCTGGAAGTCAACAGTGGCCTTGAATGCCAGCTCTTGGGCCTCTTGTGGGCTCATTTGCCCCCAAGACCATTTCTCCACAAGGCTTTCTCCAAGCTTGGAAGTCAGCTTAGCATCCTTCAGCTTTGGCTGGGTGTTTCAGCAGCCAGACTTTGGTTGATTCCACCCTTTCTTCTTCGCTTTCTGCAACGTTGCTCAACATCAGAAGCCATGGTGGTTGGCCAAAGTATGCTACATCAGTTTGGATGCAACTTAATAAATTGGAATGCTACTTTGTGTCTGTGAATTGTATAGTGCCCAGAGAAAGCTGCTTCCTTTGAAGGCCAAGCCTGGCTGAATTGTCAATATGCTGTGTGGAAACATGGTGGTGCTGGGGTTCAAAGCGGTGGTGCTGCACTTAAATACAAATGGTGCTCCACGGTGTTAATGTAATCTAAAGATGCCAATTTTCATTGCAAATTCAAATGTTGCTTGGAAGTGCAAATGTTGCTTAGGGGTGTTGTTTTTTAAAAACATCAATGTTGTTTAGAAATACAAATGTCGCTGAGGGGTGATTTAACTTAGAAACCAAATGCCACTTAGACCTGTAAATGTTGCTTAAGGTTTTGCTACTTAGAAATGCACATGTTACTTCGGAATGCAAGTGTTACTTAAAGGTCTTGCTACTTAGAAATTACAATAAGTGTTATATACTTAGAAATGTAAATGCTGGTCAGGGGTATTATTACTTAGAGGTTACACATGGTACTTGGTAATCAAATGCCACTTCAGTTTTTTTTCGAAATGCAAATGTTACTTAGGCTGCATGTTGGTCCACGCCCCACTTCCCCCCTGCAAAAGTTTGCCTTTACAGCTCCTTTCTTGTTGGCAGAAGAGCTTTGAATTGTGCCACTGCTTCATTTAAGCCCCTGGTCTGCTGTGCTGGGTCTGCCATGAACTCCTTGAAGTTTGTAGGTGTCAATGGCTTGTCACCTTCCAACTCCTGCAAATCAAAAAGGAAGGCAACAAGGGCACTAGGAATGTTGCTTTAGCAAATTTCAATCAACAGCAGCAACAAGAACAACAGAAGCTCTCCTTCCAGGTCAGCACATTGTGATTCTTTTGCGCCCATGCTTGGATGCTGATGACAGTCTCTTTGAACTTCTTCTTGTCTGTGCCATTTGTGCACTTGCCTAACAATTTCATTGCAGCTTGGTGCGTCCTTTCATGTGCTTGCTTTGCATCAGCCAACACCTCTGTCATCTCTTTTGTCAGCCCTTCTGCTTCCAATTGCTTAAGCTGCTTTTCTTGCCCCAGGCTTTCTGCCTTCTGTTCTGTCCCTTCTTCTGTTTCATCATCAAAAGTCAAAGCTATGGAAGAAAATGCTCTTGACAAAGCAGTGTATTGGCCCTGGTCCAGCTCAACTTGTCCACTTTTCACATGGAGCTCCTGCTGTGTGCCACTCTCTATTCCTGCCTTTGTTTTCCTAAAGCTGCAAAAAGTGACTCCATCCTGCTGGTACTCCTGCACACTGCCATTGGAAATCGCTTTTTCCAATGCCTGCTCATTCCCTTGGAAAGTGCTCCAGAGGAACACATCGCTGGGCATGCCTGTGTCCTGGTCCTTGCCAAAGCGAGTGAAGAAAGCTTTTTTTTTGCTTGAAAAGGTTGTTGACGAGACTGCTTTTCTCCTTCCTTGGGTTTGAAGCTTTCTTGCTCTGCTCATGGATCAAATCTAATATGTGGGCAGGAATTGCCTCAGCATCACTCATCTTTCTGAACTTGCGAGCTTTGCCATGGTCTCCGGGCTCATCATTGTCTTCTTGGTCATCTTCTTCATTTTCAGTCTCTTCTCCATCTGGATCTTGCTTTTTTTCCAAGAGTCTCCCAGGCTTTGGTCTTGTCCATCAGACTCTCCTTCTTTCCACCTGCTTTTTCTTCCTTTGTCTTTGGCACTTCCTTCATGCTAGGCTTCTTCTTCAACTGCTTTGTGACACTCTTAGCTTTTGCTTTTTCTTTTGCTTTGCTTTTGGCTTTGGCCTTGGGTTCTTTGGTTTCCTTTTGTTCTTCTGCTTTCTCTACTTCTGACTCTGCTGGTGTACCTTTAGCTGGAGAAGCCTCTGCCTCTGCTTTCCCTTTTCTTCCCATGGCTGTGTCTCCTTTTAAGAGACCCAGGAAAACTAGCTGCAAAAGTCATCATCAAAAGTCAAAGCTATGGAAGAAAATGCTCTTGACAAAGCAGTGTATTGGCCCTGGTCCAACTCAACTTGTCCACTTTTCACATGGAGCTCCTGCTGTGTGCCACTCTCTATTCCTGCCTTTGTTTTCCTAAAGCTGCAAAAAGTGACTCCATCCTGCTGGTACTCCTGCACACTGCCATTGGAAATCGCTTTTTCCAATGCCTGCTCATTCCCTTGGAAAGTGCTCCAGAGGAACACATCGCTGGGCATGCCTGTGTCCTGGTCCTTGCCAAAGCGAGTGAAGAAAGCTTTTTTTTTGCTTGAAAAGGTTGTTGACGAGACTGCTTTTCTCCTTCCTTGGGTTTGAAGCTTTCTTGCTCTGCTCATGGATCAAATCTAATATGTGGGCAGGAATTGCCTCAGCATCACTCATCTTTCTGAACTTGCGAGCTTTGCCATGGTCTCCGGGCTCATCATTGTCTTCTTGGTCATCTTCTTCATTTTCAGTCTCTTCTCCATCTGGATCTTGCTTTTTTTCCAAGAGTCTCCCAGGCTTTGGTCTTGTCCATCAGACTCTCCTTCTTTCCACCTGCTTTTTCTTCCTTTGTCTTTGGCACTTCCTTCATGCTAGGCTTCTTCTTCAACTGCTTTGTGACACTCTTAGCTTTTGCTTTTTCTTTTGCTTTGCTTTTGGCTTTGGCCTTGGGTTCTTTGGTTTCCTTTTGTTCTTCTGCTTTCTCTACTTCTGACTCTGCTGGTGTACCTTTAGCTGGAGAAGCCTCTGCCTCTGCTTTCCCTTTTCTTCCCATGGCTGTGTCTCCTTTTAAGAGACCCAGGAAAAACTAGCTGCAAAAGTACTTGGCGAAAAAGAATATACGATTTAGCCATGAATTTCTGTGACTTCACTCATGGTTCACAGCATAGACAATCATGTTTTCTTTGTGTAAGCTGGCTTCATATGCAAGAAATGCTTGAGGAATGGCAGGAGCAGGAGAATAAAAATGGCAGCGAAGAACGTCACCCTTCCACTAGTTAAAGTCATCCAAAATCTGATCAGAAAAAGGAAAACTGCTGTGAATAACAACAAGTGGTGGTGTCACTTTGGTTCAAGTTTGCATCAAACTGACAGTTGCGGGGTGTCACTTTGGTGCCATTTTGATGTAAACTGACACCTTGCTAGCGTCACTTTGGTTCCTGTTTGGTGTCACTTTGGTTCCTGTTTGGTGTCAGTTTGGTTCCTGTTTGGTGTCAGTCTGGTTCCTGTTTGGTGTCATTTTGCTGCTAATTTATTATATTTCTCTATATAATTATAAACAAATAATTAATAATACACAAGCACTAAACTGACACCAAACCGACGCTAAACTAGCACTAAACTGGTACCACACTTACACCCAACTGACACTTGACAAGTGTCAGTTTACATCAAACTAACACCAAACTGACACTTGAAGAGTGTAAGTTTGCATCAAATTTGCACTAAAGTGACACTGGTAATCGAAGGAAGTTTAGAAGTCAAACTTCCGACAATATGGACAGATGAAAAGCAGAGCAGGGCAGAGGCAGAGAGAAGAGAAAGATTAGAAGAGAGAAGATCAGAGAAGAGAAAGAGTCAGAAGAAAGAAGATGCAGATGCGCGAAAAGGTAGGAAAGTCGCAAAACACTGTGTTTTTCCAATGATTTGAGGCTCCGGAGGGTCGAAAAGTAGGCTCGCTAAAGCGGCGGGTGCGGAGCCAGCTGGCCAGATGAGAGATGAAAGAGTGCACGCCGTTGTGGCGCGAAGCACATTTCCAAGTCAAAATGTACAAAGCACCTCAGCGCCGGAGCACTTTTGGAAGTTGCGATGTCGAAAAAGTGCACGCCGTTGTGGCGCGAAGCACATTTGGAAGTCAAAATGTTAAAAAAAAAACCAGGGGTTCGGACCACTTTTGCAAGTTGCGATGTCGAAAAAGTGCACGCCGTTGTGGCGCGAAGCGCATTTCGAAGTCAAAATGTACAAAGCACTAGGGGTTCGGACCACTTTTGGAGATTCAGATGTCGAAAAAGTGCACGGCGTTGTGGCGCGAAGCACATTTCGAAGTCAAAATTTTAAAAACACGAGGGGTTCGGACCACTTTTGGAGGTTAAGATGTCGCTTCGCTTCACTAGACTACACTACATTACACTACACTACACTCCACTACACTACACTACATTACATTACACTACACTCCACAACACTACAACTACAACTACACAACTACACTCCACTACACTCCACTACACGAAATTACACTACACTACACTACATTACACTAGACTCCACTACACTACACTACACTCCACTACACTAAATTACACTACACTTCACTACATTACACTACACAACACTACACTACACTCCACTACACTACATTACACTACACTACACAACTACACTCCACTACACTCTACTACACTCCACTACACTCCACTACACTAAAT